AAAAAAAAAAAGAAACTTCATAAGTTAACTTGTTTGAGTTCCCGAACTGGACCAATCTAGTGACTTAATTATCAGAAGCAATTATCTCGTCGATGAGAACAAATATATATATATATGAACATTAGTAAATTTTGTTATATAAGCCCGAACTTCCTCTATATGCCAAACGTTCACTAGTTCAACGGGCAAAGCTATTGGGCGCAATCCAATTTTTGTCAGAACTAATTATTGGAATAATTTGCACAAACATTAGTTTTGTTAAGGAAAACTTACCCTGAGTTTCAGCTTATATAAAAAACCACAAGTTCGTTCACCGAGATCAACGGTTGGTCATTGAGAATGGCAACCTTAAATTTAATTCTGAGTGCTTGTCGACGACACCGTCTAATCTTTCCTTGATATATTTTCGCTAGGTATTTGCATGACAGAGTTAAAATCTTCAGCGTCAGTATATAAAAAATGAAATACTAATGATTCATCAAAAGGCATTTATTTAGTGGGATCGCGGTTTTCCTTTAGCTCTTAATGGACTTAGAGTTATTACAAGTCAATTTAAAACAGGTATTATTTACCTTTAAAATGAAGTAAACGAGTGAAAAGAAAAAAGGAAAGTCACTTACCTTGGAAATATTCCTTTGAACTCTCGAGGAAAGTTAAAAAACAAGCTAGCATGATCTAAAAGAACAGTTAGCCGGAGTTAATGTAGTCCAAGACTTGATGAAAAACGGCAGATGTTTTTGTGAACTGGTAAAAACTGATCGACGGAGGAAACTGGGAGCATCCCTGATAATATATATGAAGATTAGTTTTTATAAACTCCTTGTAGAGCGCTTTCTGGACTGTACGCCGGCTTTTGCGGTTTTAAAATCGTGCTTTATCGCTCCATGCAATCTTAACGTCTTTTTACTCTTAAACATAGTCAGTCGGCTTGTTTTAGCTTTTGGCCGACCAATTACAATCGGATTACTTTTAATTTACCTTTCCAATATCTTTCCGAGATGAACTAAATGCTAACTGTTCATCTCTACCGCTTATGCGCGCTGATTATTTTAGACTTTCATGACATGACTTGACATTTACACTTACGCTCTTTACACTTACATGTCTGTCATGGGAGTAAAAATAAATATAAATATTTCCTTCAATGGCTAATTCGTGAAAGACGTTTCGAAAGTCCACTGAAAGATACTGGCGTAAAGTCTATATCAAATTGAAGAACACTTCGCACTTTTTGTTATGAAAACATGGTTTACTAGCCAGTTTACTTAAAGCCACACTTGTCATGGCAAAAGAGAGAATGAAAGAAAGAAACAACAAACAAGTTCTGTATTTTTTTTCGTTTTATTAAGTCAAAAGTATGCAGATCTTTGCTAGATAAGCTACTATTATACATTGTAACCCACAAACGAAGTCTTTAAGTAGAAACCAAACGGTTTTTGTACGTAATGAACGCTCATCACAAAATGAACGGTCTTCGGTTCTAAAATCATGGAAAGAGGAAGTTTTCTTGTAACGATGGCTGTTCCTTTACCCTTTCCTGTAATTCTCACTTTGTATTTTCGCTTGGCGCAGGCGTTGGCTATTTCAAACGTGACGCCTAGATTTTCGCGCTTTCTCGTGACTAACAACAAACACGATTCGTTCAAGTCTTTAACTTCGGAATTTGTACCAAAACTGTTGGCTCTAAACACGGTTTCTAACACGTCTGACCCGGTTTGTATCTCAAACCATCTCCAAGAATTTGTGTTGCTAATATTTCTCCCATGATTCTTTGAGTCACAAACGCACGATTCTACTTTGACACGTTTGTCTACGCATTTCTCGTACCTGCGATAAATACTAACCCTTCGGATACCAGTTATCCTTGAGAAGTTATTCCGCCCGTTAGCTGAAGTTCCCACCGGGTAACTCACTTGAACTTCAAATATCTCTTTTCCTGGTTCAACGACTAAGTCCATCGTTAGCAAATAGTTTTCTCCAACTTCCCTCCTGCGAATTTTTTCAAAACTGTGTCCAACTAACCTTTGGCACTTTCCAAACCCGCCTGTTATATTAGGAGTTGTAACGAAATTCATTTGAATATTGTTATTAAGATTCCCTAAAGCAAATTCAGCAAGAAAAATGAACTGTGGGTCATTATCCTTAAACATTTGTTCCCAGCCCTCGCACTTGCAAACGGCCGCAGCTTTGATTGATAAATCTGCGCATGTCCGATTAGGAGGTATCTCTGAGAATATTCCGTCGTCGAGATATGAGCCAGAAGCGGATCTTTCTGAATCTCCAATTGACATTATTGCATTATGAAGATCTAAAGTAGTTAGAAGGCGTCTTTGGTTTGTTACCATGGCGCCCATGCGTCTCACTCCAAGAATATTAGCGACTTTCTCTGGAACGATGGCAAAGAGAAGCGAATCATAAATTTCCCCTCGCCCTTCCATAGTCTTGAAAGAGTATGACGTCGTCTTGGGGCCGTGATCGGAAAATAAAATAGTTAACGTGTCTTCTTCGTGGGCAATGGAGTATAAGTACCCCGAGAGGGCGGCGTCAATTTGTTGTATTCGTGTGCCTGTCACCTCGTGTCCAGGGCTGAGATGAGTATAAGCGAAAACTGGCTGTCTTCGCCCAGAATCAATATAGCCTTGAAAAATACTCAACGAGTAGTCTAAGAAATGCTCGGAATAAACTTTCCCTCCATAGCAAATTCTCCGCGGTCGATTAAACTGATTGGTGACGTTGTACTGTTTGAATACCTCGCATGAGGAATGCGACAAGCCGAAGTCGTCGACGTTATAGTCATTGATAGTGTCCTGAAATCGTCCCCATCGCAATTCAAATTCCTCAAAGCTACGCGGCGTTTTATTTTGGAACACGTTGTTCGTGAATAAGGAACCCCATTCATCAAACCAACAACTGTCCTCTTGTAGGAGGGTGTAGTAACCTTGATTTTTCAACTTTTTGTACAAAACTTCTATCTCGTAAGTTCCATTTGAATGCTCGACATAATTAAAATCGCTTTTGCCAGACATAAATGCTCGGATATTGTGGAACGTGAACGGCGCTGAACTTTGCAATAACTCAAAGTCTAACGCAGTCGCTTTGATAGACTCGTTGTAAACTATGTTTCTAAGAGTGCTGACCGTTTTAGGGAGCGAGCGATAAAAATGCGCGCGCGAAACGGAATCCAAAACCACAATGTTAAGATTAATAAGAATCTCCTCTTTCTTGTTTGGTAGAAACTCTGAGTTTTCTATCTCTAGCAACGGAGGGAAAGTCAGAATCTGTGAAACGTACTTTTTACGCCCAGTTTTGCAACTAAGAAAGCAAAAGCTGAACCTTCGTAGCGTGTTGACGATTATAAAGTGAGCGAGGAACCTTTCAAGCGCTTTGGAGTTGTTGAAGTTATATTCCTCTTTAGCTTTGTCCACTATGCCCTCCATTGGGTGAATTCCCGTAACGCTTACGGGATGTCCCTTGCAGGGTGATAAATCACAGTGAATCGTCAGTTCACTCTCGGGACTCGTCCTCCACGTTTCTTCTATGGTGCAAATTTCTTGGTTTTGTCCTTGGACACACTCTATAGTTTTCTTGTGAATTTCGTATTCCTTTGCAGCCTGTTTACAATCTTTTTCCGTTGGTTTGTGCAAAATGCAGGATACTCTCTTCTCCTCTTTCTGCTCTGCGCTCTGTGTAGAGTTCTTAAGTTTCCTTAGGCCCATATAAGGACAATCGGATCCTGTAGGGAACTCTCCTAAGCCATCCTGGTCTTCTTCGAACAGCAATTTAAACACACTACGCTGATTCTTGAGGCTTTTACTCTCCATTAACTGAGGATAGTTCGAATCATGATAGAGATCGCTGTTATTCCCTAGGTTAGAAAGTGGAGTGATTTCGTCGTTGAAGATTTTAATCGAAGGGCTTAAAATCTCTTTGACACCTGTTTCACTATAATCTTCTTTCGTTAAGGGATCACTCAGACCCTCATTAGTTCTTGTTTCATTCTCTGTCTTACGTGAAGTATTGCCAAATGTTGCATGCGCAAAGTCTCCACGTTTCTTTTCACTTGTTGTTTCTTCACCCTTTCCCCGATGATTTGACATGCTTACAATTAAGTTTTCAACATTGTATCGTTCTTTATTTTTCATCTTTTGACGGTAGGCGTCAGTGTTAATTAAAGTAATTCTTACAAACTGCACCTGTAAATTTATCAGTAATCTCTTCTTTACCTGCAGTTTGTTGTGTTGTGAAGACGTTTCTGTGAGTTTTCACTTCCTAGACTACAGTATAAAGCTAACTGCAAAATTGCGACCCGTTGAAGCTATGAATAAAGAAACAATTGTGCTCCTCAAAGTCGTGCAGTCTTTTCTGGTGTTAGCTGACCTGGCCATTGTCCTTGTCCACTAACCTTGCAAATGATGCCTTGAGCGATTTCGCGGGACAATTTTTGTAAAGTTGCCAGAAAACAAATTTCGAACACTCGAGAGATATATAAAAACGAAAAGGTGCAGTTTTTTCTGTGCTAAATAAAACGTTGAGCCAGCAAACAACAACTTTTCGTTATTTAGTCGCGACGAACGTTACACAGAGTAGTAAAGTCAATTACTAAGCTTTTTGGTGCACACTGATTGGTGAACTAAATTGGCGTAACCCGCGCCGGATGTGAATGCTGTAACAAGGAGTGCACATCAGCGATTTAAATCCATCACTAGCACCAATTGCAAGAAAGGATATCTTAGTGATACATTCCAGCCAACTAATTTCCCATGTTCTTTGTATAAAAGCAGAGAAAAAAGTCCTTGGAAATGAAAAACTCTCATTGCTGGTAACAAAACTACTCAAACAATTTTGCGAGAAAATCGTTCTGTCAACAATGCACCATTTCATGAAATATATGGTGCCGTGAATGATGCTTTGGATATCATCAACTTGACTTCACTGATAATTTAATAATAATAATATCTTATAATAATAGTCGTTTCTTTAATTACCTGTCATTGTGGCTCGCTCTAAGTCTGCTGCGAGCAAAGTGAAATCTTTCACGTGAATTCTCGTAGTCCAAACATAAATTCCAACTGCCGCGAGACTTACAAGGAGAATGAAAACCTGCCAGAAGATAAAGACAATATCATTAAGAGAAAAAAAAAAAAACAAATGATTATCAAAAGGTGAACGCGAAAAAGACCGTCCACTCAGCTAACTTACTTTTGAGACAGTCAAGGTGGGTTGGTCTTTTGCATGGTCTGTCTGTCTGTCTGTCTGTCTGTCTGTCGTCTGTCTATCTGTCAGTTAGTCAGTCAGTCAGGCAATAAACCAATCAGTCAGCCTCGGCAGTCATTCTGTCTCAGTACGTAAGTCATTCGAGCAGTCAGGAAGCCAAGAAAGGTTGCAGGCAATTAAAATAATTTTCGGTTTCCAAAACAACAAAATTTTGAAATAGATCTCAATAACCAGATGTTTGAAACCGGTTTCCATATACTCGGCATTAGTTTCTCGATTTTCATTTATATATTTTATGTACCGAACTTTCGCAGCAACAAAAAACAAGGCAATGTTAAAAAAACAACACCGCACAGTCTTTTTGAAAATGGCAAAACATATTTCGGATGTGTCTCTATCCACCGTGGGTTGCTTTGTATAAGTTAAATTTGAATATGGTACTTATGAGCTAACAAAGTGCGATGGAAAGAAGCAGCAATT